TTATGTGAATTGGCTTCAGAATAGATGGTTATTTACTATGTAAGAGAGCAAGAAAGTTTTATACGTATTTTGTTTCATTTAATTTTTATGGACTTTTTTAAATACAAATTTTTAAAATTATCCTAGTATTTGAAGTGAAGTTTTTAGCTTTTAAATCTTCAGAGTTAAGACAATAACCCATTTCACGCGTTCAAGTTGGATAATTTTATTTTGTTAGTACATCTTTAGGTTTACTATTTAGAAAATGATTTCCCATCATATTTGATCTACGTTTCTACCCATAGTAAAACAAAAAAAGCTAAGACGTAGTTTTTTGGTGCACAGAGAATTTCGAGTGTACTGTGGGTAAAAGAGACAAAATGTTATAATTACTTAGTTTACCTTTTCAATATACTTTAAGCTTGAAAATGGTTTTTATATTGTTGTTTTTGCTGAATTTGAGCAACTTTATACAACTCTGATGAATAAGCATTATAGGGCAGTCATCACCTACTTTGATGGAATCAAATATTTCTAATAATATTTTTAACATCTTTTATTTCCAGACAACATAAAAATAGGTACAATGCTTTACACCTCTAACAATTCAATTAGTGAAATAACAAATCTAACATCAGAACATTCAACATAATTCACCATAAACATTTCCTCTTCTGTAAGCATTTGCCTCATTTTCAATTTCCATATTACTGTGATTACAGGACCAACCTGGAAGGGGGTGATTAAGACACCCCTGCACACCCCTTCAACAATCAGTGTGCCCCTATAGCTTTAACACTGTCTTCACACCAAATGTCAGTCACTATGTCAGTGCTCAAAGACAATATAAGAAAACAGAATTCATTATTTTTTAAAGTCACATGTGAAGATTTTCAACCATGCATATGCACTATTATGATATGTCCTTGTTTATATTACTAGCAAGACCAAGAATAAAAAGGCCTAGTTTACAGCTTGTGAACTTGGTTTCAGATTATTGTTCAACATTCATTGGCTCCATTCTTTTTTTAAGTCAGTGGAGAATTATCAAATCCTCTTCAATGCTGTCAGGAAGCACTTCAAAGGTCTCCTAATTATTGGATAACCTGTAAAAAAGCAAATGAAAAACTTCAATATTTCACAATGAAACAGTACAGCTAAAAACAGCAAAAAACCTTATGACCTTATTAAAAAAATTATCTAACTCCACACAGAGCTGAAAAATGTTAATTTTGAAAATATTGTACCTAAAACCCTTCACACTGGACAGCGTCCATTCTGCTTCCTTTGTGCAACCATGAAACTGGCATTGCTGTGGTCGTAGAAAGGAGGCACAAGCATCACTTTGGTTGCAAAATGAATGCTCAATGATCGGCCAGTTGTCAGAACGTTTTTTTTTTTAATTTCAAATGGGGCCGTACTACAGGATGCAGAAAGGACATCGTCCATTGTAAAGGGGGCTTAAGACAAGAGACAGAAAAACTGGCTAATGTACAGGCACCAGTCTTAGTAAATATAGCCACACAGCAAATCTGAAGTAAAAACAAGGCAACAAAGCTGTCAAATGTACAGATAAATGCAGAAAATAACGACACAGAAAATAGGTCATTTTATCAATTTTGAGGCAATAATAAATAATGATTATAACAGCACAGTCAATCAACACTAAAATTTAATCATGCACAACAGATAACATGGTCAATAAGATTATAGTTTCAGGATCATGAGAGTTCAAATTCAAATAATGAAAATACCAATATGTGAAAAATGACGACAGTACATAAAATGATATTACATAATGTTTAAAGACATAAATACCAAAACTATTGCTTATGTGGAAATACAGAAAATGTACAGAGCTTTGGGTGGAAAGGAGTTAAAAGTCACATCTTAAAGATGCCAGTGTTTGAAATAAAAAAAAAAAATTATAAAAGAAACATAACAAAAAATATTCCAATAAAGCTGCTATTCAAACTTTTAATCATATTGTATTAACACAATATAACTCCACTGAGTTTGAGAATAATAAGGCACTGTTATTAATAATAATAATAATAATAAAAATGATAATGATAAGCTTCTTATATGGCGCCTTACATGCTACCTCAAGGCCCCTTACAATAATGGATAATATAACTAAAATCATTAAAATGACTACAATATTTAAGTCTAACTCGCTCATTGGAAACCATTTAAAATGAAGTGTGTGTCCACGAGAAAACCAGACCAAATGTAGAAAATGCGGCAAGGTGGGGGTGAACGAATTTACATCATATTTGGTGTGTTTGAACCTTTATATGAACAATATCTGAGGCTGCAATATTTCCTGAAAAAAATCCCTACTTACAGAGACATGGCCAGTGACAATTTGGGGAGTTTATCAACCAAAAATTCTTCTGAAAAACAGGGTTATATTGATTGGCCTTAAAAGTTTGTACAGGTGTCACTAAATGATTTAGTTTGGTGATATATTATAACCCAAAGATAGGGGATTAAAATGATATACACTTTTTTCACTCTCTTTGTTTCCATGGTAACAAACCAAGCGTTTTTCTCAGGCCTACAAACCACATGCTTTTAACACCCCCCTTCTATTT